GGTCGAATGTACTTACAGCTTTAAGAATTAGCTTTTTTAAAGTCCTCCATTTTCACATTATAAGCAGAGAGTTGAGACAGTGGTAAAAATTAAAGCCGATCAAACTTAAGTAAGGTTTAAATTGGACAAATTGAGTCAGGATGATGTTCAATATTGTTGGACCGTTGGGGTATATTGGCTCTGACACCACGCGCAAACGGGAGGCACCAGGAGTCTAAACAGGAACTTTGTTTCTTTAGTCTTTGTCCCTCTTTTTCGGCCCTAAGTACGTGGTCTTAAATATCCTATCAGTAAGTTTGTTTGGGCTTACGGGAAAACTGACCTTGGCAAAGTAAACATGTTTTTAATACGCTAATTAAAAGAATTTTCACAAGACATTCGAAATGAACAACAGAGTATTTGAAAAACATTCAATCTTCGGGAGCTAAAACCTAAACAATACTTGTCGTTGAGGACTCTAAACAAGGTCAAGGACCTGGAACCCAATGACCCAAAAAAACGGTGGCTGAACTCAGGCTAAACACGACTAGCGATGACGATTATCCTGCGAGAATTAAGCCCACTTACAACGGTCAGAGGTATCACTCAGGGGATGAAAACAAAAATATGTGGTCTTGCAACACATAATAAACAAGGCTTACAAAGTCCGCACAAGGATTTTAAGATAATATAACAGGCCTGAACAATTCCCAAACAATTCGCCAGAACATTTACTATTTCAGCACAGGTAACATAGGCTCACTGTTTCTGTCACGTCATGGTTAAATATAGAGAACATATGGGGCGAGGTTTAGGTCTGGAAATTTGCTTGAAAATGGAAATAAAAATCAATGAAACTTACCATGTGGTGATTTGTTGTTGTCCGTAATATGTACACGAAGTTTCGGGAAAAATACTCTTCTTCACTTTTCCTTCATAGTAGAGAGACAAGGTAGGAGACTGACGGCAGCGTCGGGGACCGATCGACCCTCAATCCAGCACATTTTTTTTCACGAAAATCCAATCCAGTCGCCAAATAAACACGCCGAGCGCGTAGAACAAGAATAACTCTAAACCATGAATTCACTAAAGCAGCTCCAGCTTCAAACGCGAAGCCAGCAGGCTCCATAAAACTTGTACGCTAACCCACTAGAATGGCGTTCGGGAACCGTTGGCATCACAACTGGTCCAATTCAAACTAGCACTGAGCTCGGGGCACCTGGTGACGAGTATTAAGTCCCCGTGGAGTGAGGGGAGTCCCAGATTGCTCAAAGGTAAAACTCGCCGTCCGACTATCCTTGGGAATATTTCGGTTTCGGGCCGCCATTCCTGTGGGTTAGCGTACAAGTTTTACGGAGCCTGCTGGCTTCGCGTTTCAAGCTGGAGCTGCTTTAGTGGATTCACAGTTTAGAGTTATTCTTGTTCTACGAGCCCGGCGTGTTTATTTGCGGACTGGATTGGATTTTCGCGAAAAAAATGTGCTGGATTGAGGGTCGATCGGTCCCCGACGCTGCCGTCAGTCTCCTACCTTGTCTCTCTACTATGAAGGAAAGGTGAAGAAGAGTATTTTTCCCGAAACTTCGTGTACATATTAAGGACAACAACAAATCGCCGCATGGTAAGTTTCATCGATTTTTATTTCCATTTTCAAGCAAATTTCCAGACCTAAACCTCGCCCCATATGTTCTCTCTATTTAACCATGTGTACGTGACACAAACAGTGAACCTGGGTTACCTGTGATTTTAGTAGTTCCCAAACATTTATAATTTCAGTATGCGCCCTGACAACAGTTACAGAAATGACAACGGGCCGCTCTCTTCGCGGGCGCACATTCAAAATGGGGGCCGGAGTAGACATCAAAGGTAGACGAGTAGTCAGTTGGGCAAGCAAGATTTTACAACGATTTTAATGTAATGAGCACTGCCAGCTTTTTTATTAATCACCCAGGAACAAAGAAGCCCTTTTTTATGAAACAGAAAGGGTGCTGAACCATTGGAGGACCGAAGAAAAGGTAAATGTAGGATTTCCGTCATTCTTTATTAATTTTCATATTCAAAATTTTGTTCGTGGCTTCACTACGATGACATATTGCTGTGTAAGCTAACGAACCATGGATAAAAAATGATTTTCCGCAAAAGAAGTAAAGCGGGATCTTTAAAATTCGCAGTTTTCAACTTTAAAGAAATGCTTTACGTGTAAAATAAGGTATAGATCGTATTCACGTGACGTCACGACATAATTTGCCGCCATGTTGGTGCACATGCACTCACGTGTAGCTCTATGCAAATTAGGTAAACAAACTTTGGTTTTTGAAATGTCAAAAATTAGAATGGCTTATAATCAAGATTCTTCCGTTTCACAAGATGATTGTGATAAGGAATCATCATTTCTCTTGTCCTAATATGCTAATAAGTTGGAAGGAAAAGTTAGAAAGCGCTATTTGGATAAAATAGAAACGATCGGAATCGATCCTGTTTTGATCGAGGGGAAGCACTACGAGCTCGACTGTTTGCCACCGGTGGAATCAACAAATTTGCTTTACTATTTAGTTCTTGAAACCAGCTTCTACACACAGCAGCAATTTAAAGCGTTTAGAAGTCTAGAGGCATACAACCAAATGGTTTCTGGATTTATTACAAGCGTACATGGGCACATAATTTCAAACAAGTTTGTCGTCTTGGCCATGGTGAAACATTCTCAGCGCATGAACGATCCTTTGATTAATATCTGGATTATAACTGAAAAGGATGGAGCTATCAACTGCGCCCATTGTTTAGGATGCAAGGCAGGACTATCCGAATCATGTTCTCATATCGCTGGTGTACTGTTTTATTTGGAAGCGTGGACGAAGGTAAACGGCAGACTTTCGTGCACACAAATGCAGTGCACGTGGATTCTACCAAATTGTGCAAACGAAGTAGAATACGCAATGGCTAGGGATATTAACTTCAAATCAGCTAAGAAAATGAAGGCTTATCTTGATGCGAATATCGACAGGCCTTCTGAAATGCTCGAAACAACAACAAACCAGAAAGAAAAAATTACCACTAAATCACAAGTGCTGGCACCGAGCGAACCGGAAATAGACACAGTATTCTGTGTACTCAGTAAATGTCAAACAAAAGCAGTATTATTATCCTTGATTTCTCCTTATGCTGACAGCTATGTTCTACCAAGCCGTAATATTCCAGCTGTGATGAGCCTCTTTGACAAGAAATACCTTGATTTATTATATAATGACTTAGTTAAGGTATGTCAAAGTATCCAGATAGACATAACAAAAGAACAAATTGAGAGGGTTCAAATTGACACCAGAAATCAAGCCAAAGGTAATAGCTTTTTCAGACACAGAGCAGGAAGGATTGGTGCATCCCAGAGTAAGGCTGCTGCCTCGACTAACCCTTCACTCCCTTCACAATCACTGATACAGAACATCTGCTATCCAGAACTTAACAAAGTAACAACTAAGGCAGTGTCACATGGTTGTAAACATGAAGCAGGGGCAATCCATGCATATGAACAGCCCATGAAAACGAAACACATAAACTACAAAATTGAGAAATGTGGTTTATTCATAAATGATGATCACCCATGGATGCATGCCACCCCTGATTTTTTATGTTATTGTGACTGTTGTGGTCAAGGGTGTGGAGAAATCAGGTGTCCACTTTGTATAGAAAATTTTGATTTTGATACCTATGTTACACACCCATCAACATGCCTAAAAAAGAACAGCAACAATCAGTTTGAGCTAATTAAAACACATCAATATTATTACCAAGTGCAACAGCAGCTCTTTACAACCAAGCTCAAATACTGTGACTTTGTGGTTTGCGCAGTTGGAAAAAATGACCAATTGACTCTCGTAGGACAAAGGCTTTCACCTGACATTGACCACTGGAATGTTGTTCTCCCCAAGCTTCACAAAATTTGGAGGATAGGAGTGCTACCTGAAGTGCTTGGTAGGTGGTACACCAAACGAAGGAATATCGATATCAACAATGTGGCACAGACTGATGCTGTATGTTACTGCAGACAAGACACCAAGGAACTGGAAGATATAATGGTATGCTCCAACCCTGATTGTGCAATAAGCCAATTTTATCGATCATGTTTGGGAATCAATAAAACCTCAAAGACCTGGTATTGTCCTAATTGTAGAACCTTGCCACAATTTAAAAGAGGAGGAAAAAAGCAATCGGTCAATGATGAAGCTCTAAAGTTTGAGTACCTCTGTGTGTGCAAAGCTGCTCCAAACATCAAAGATAAGCTGGTGAGGTGCACCAAGGCAGGATGTAGCAATGGAAAATTTTTCCATCTAACATGTCTCAACCGCAAGCGCATGCCAAACAATAGTAACACTTGGCCGCATCCAGTCTGTGTAGTACGCATTGCTCCAGTTAGTGGACAGAAGACATGTTATTTGGCACGTTTATCGATTATCCTATGATTTCCAGAACATTCTTGGGTAGTCGTTTAGGAATGTTCTAGTGGTTTCGACAGGAGTACGTGACGTCTATTTATAGAAACTCGAGTTGTTTACCGTAAATTCTGGAAAATTCTATGATGTAATGTTACCAAAAATAGTCGTTTTGTAAATCCGTAGAATCTTCTAGAAAGATTGTAAGGAGCTATATAAGAAGGTGCAGTAGGTTGTCGCGTTTAGAGGAAAAAGAAGAAAAAGAAGAGAAAAAGATAAAGGAAATAAAGGAGTTATTGAAAACAATTCATTTCAAGGTTTATCGCGAAACCAGTTAGCAATGCTTCTACTTCAACAGCCCCTACTTATAGGCCTAACATTAACCCTAACCCTAGACTGTGTAAGTCAAGGTGTACTGGAGTGCAATATGTGAAAACTGTACATCATATAAATGGGCCACCCTAAGAGAAATATTCACCTGAAGGGAAACTGGGTAATTATGAGTATGGTTTAATATCTTCTCCCAGCGGATGGTTAGACTGTGTTATCATACCTGAGGCTCATATATTGCTAAGAAAAATTAGCAATGGAAAACAAGGATTTCAAAGACCAACTCTTGGTCCAGTCAAACAATTTGAAATAATGACCAGACCATTTATTCAAATTGTCCACATAAACAACAATCACTGGGTGTGCATGACATCTGTTGGAAGTCTTACTGGCTATGTCAACTTACTAAACAGTTTATCATCTCCTGTAACACAAGAAATGTTGGATTTGGCAAAAAACTTAGCAGGACCAATGTTCAAGGGCATTACCTTGGTACCTGTTCAACAACAACAGAATGGCAGTGACTGCAGTGTCTTCTCGATTGCCTTTGCGACAAGTTTAGTTTATGGACAAAACCCAGCAAACGCTACTTATGATATTCCTAGGATGCGTACACATTTGTTAAATTGTATAAAAGGTGGATACATGCACCTTTTTCCTACTACTTGAACTTCTTAAGTTTGCCAAAAACCTTACATGAAAAAAACATAGAAAGTCAAATCATGCCTGATAACTCTGGCAAGTGAATTATTTTGAATATTAGATTTTGACAACAACAGCGAACATGAAAAATATAGTTTTAAAATTATATATTTTCGTATGTACTCAGCCAATAAAGAATACCTTATTTTCCGGTGTACAAGTAGAATTTTTCAGGCTTGAAAATCACTCCATAAAACGACCTCGACTTATACACCAACCACAACACAGTGGTCGGTCATTGAGTGGAAGAAATAGCACTTTATTGTCATAACTGTACACCAGAAAATACGGTAAATGGAATTCATTATTCAAAAGGTACAATTCTGCTGCTCGTCCAGATACAACATGCTTTGAGCATATCAGGCTATTTTTCAAAATGGAGTCCATGAGGTATCATCTACTTATCGCCGAAATCCACGCTTTACGGCATTCCTCCATTAATTTTCTAATTTCTTCACCTTGGTTTGTGATTATGGAAGGTATCCTAGCCATATTAACTCCTTTATCACGCACACTTCTCTTTCCACAACCAACTATTGCACATATAACCATCTTTTCGCTCGAATCTATCACCCTTCCCTTTGTATTGTTTACATTTGGATGTGCACCAACATGGCGGCCAATTGTTGAGTTGGTCACGTGACTGAATACGATCTATATTGGCAACTCGATATGCTAAGATGTCATATGTAAGTCTATCATCCTCGTTAGCTGTCCAAAAATACATTAATATTGTCACTTTCGTATCTATCGCTCGTGTCCAAAGAAGTCCTTGTTTGGAAACGAAGTTTCAGCCCAAAGAAGAAAAATTAAACTTGGTTTTTGAGTTCTGCTCCATAATAGTATTTTATGGTCAAAAATGAAACATGTTCAAGGCATTTTTACGTTATTGTATCGTTACTACGGTGGTATCTTTAATTTCACTGTCTATTAACTTACAAGGTTATTGAAGTTAGCGAGGATATCCCTTAAAAATTGCGTTATCAGAAACGATCTTCACAATGTTAGCCATAATAATATTAAATTACATGCTAGACTGGCCTCTATTTTGTACCAAGCATTTTGATTTGTCGTCAGAGCTTGAAAAGCTTGCGCTAAGGGCTGCCAACGAAAAGCTTTCAGAGCTAGCGTTCTCATAGCCACGAGCTCGCCCGCCAAAGAAACCATCTCCACTTTAAGAAAAATGTATGGTTAACGCCCAATATATGATGTTAAAGAGAACAAAAGAGAGAGGAAACCCTACGCGAGACCAATTGTCTACATGCGACACCAACTTCTCGATCTCCTGGTCTGTGTAGGGGCGATACTGCACAAGCCGTTTCTCGGCCGTTTTCCTGCCATAAAAGCTAAACTTGTTTCGTCTTCTAGTCTGCGTATTTCCGTTTGCATTCAAATTTCCGTCCATAACGTCAACAAGGTCTTTCTTTTCTGGATCCTGCAGGTTGACGAATGATAATTTTGTTCATCAGTACTGCCTCAGAGTCGATTTGGGTCGGTGATACTAGGGTCAATTTTTGCTAGGTATGTGCCACTGCCCTCTCAGAACCCCCTACCTCATTAGCGTCAATTATGTGGCTAATAAAAGATGCCATCTTAGTCACTTTTGGGAAAATGTAACAACTTTTTAACCATGAATCTTCCCAATTTTTCAATCCCTATTTACTTGAATCTTATTAACCTCCAACATCCCGTAAATGTGCAACCTCATTCTTAGTAATTCTGTTTAAAGTGTTACCCAATTTAAGTCAATCCAGTCGTGAAAATACAGAGTGCAGCCAAGCTGTACTCTATCTACTCAATGCAATGAAAACAGGTATTAGATATTTGAAAATGTTCGCGAGATTTTTAAAGTGTGGAACATAAAGGCTCAAACTGACAAACAAATAAACACAACAGGAAAGGTTTAAACAGAGTAAAAAAACTAATTAAGTTGAAAAGAAGCTGTACTCGAGGAGGAAAGAGGAACAGAACTCGTGACTAATTTCGTCTTTAACAAGAATATATATCTCTGTTAGTGTCTGATAGTGATGTAAAAAAAAAAAAAAAATCAGACTCGCCTACGATCCCTTTAGACTCAGTTACGGTCTGGATGCCAATCTTTTTATTCTTACCACATTTTTATGTCCTGTGTGAAGAAACACGCGAATAAAATGAAAAAATCTCGTTGAAACAGTGGTGCAACTTTCGCATCAGTACCCGCTTCTGAGCATCTACGCACCCACCCCTCCCCTAACTTGACATTAACTTTTACTTGTTCGGAGTTGAATTTGACGGGTGAGGGGAGGAGAGGGGTTGGTGTGCAGTTGCCAGACACTGACGTTGATTCCGTCTCTCAAAATACCAACTAGCTCACCTTTCCATCGTCGGACTCTGTGTCGACCACAGGAATTTTCATGCCTTTCTTAATTTTCCTGTTCATCTCAAAAGATACACAGGCGTATTCCACCAGGGAAGCAAAGACGTAAAGGAAACACAGAATCAGAAACCATTCAATGGACTTTACGTACGACACTTTAGGGAGAGAGGCACGGGCGCTATTGGTAAGCGTTGTCATGGTGAGGACTGTTGTAATTCCAAGAGCTATGCGCGCTGAAAGGTACGAGATGTAAAATAAGTAAGTACATGCATGCATTTTGGCAAGACTCGCTCGAGTGTTATTTATCGTAAACTGTCGACTAATTAGTACACGGTCAGCTCTAACGGAAGACACTATAAAAAAATGATATACGAAGAATAAATGAACAAAGAAATCAATGTATAAAATTATGGAGTTGAATTTGAGTTCTGAATATTTAACAATTATTCCACTCGCTCTTGTTGGATATGAGATAATTATGGCCAATTCGGCGCTACGCGCCTCGTTTTCTATCTATCATCTCATATCCAACGCGCGCTTGTGAAATAATTGTTAAGTATTCACTGCGACACAAAGAGAATAACAGAGGAAAATGATTGAGTGATGAGGAGAATGATAGGTTGCAGTTTCAACCGCTTGGTTAGCTCATGTTGTAGAACCATGGACTGCCGTGAAGGAGGTCGAGGGTTAGAGCCCCAGACTGGACTTAGATCAGGACACGGGGTCTTTAATTGAAGAGAATGTGCTGCCTTTGCCATGACACACGCAAATTACTAGGAATTCTAGTCTTTTCGGATAGGGACCATAAACTTGGTCCGTCTAATGCTTCTTCTCTGTAATGGTTACCAGGGAACGGTAAATAACTTACTCGCTTCTCCTAGAGAGTAGGTAACTTAGGACTCGGTGTTGTAGTCTGACCTTGGTATGGGTTATATCCCCATTTAAACATGTTTTAAACCTGACCTGGACTAGCCTGTCTAAACATCGTAAATGTATAAGTAAATAAAGATATCAGTAGGGAGAGTCATGAGGTTGAGGTTTTTTGAAGTTTTATCCACTGACCTGGAGTCGAGTTGTGGCTGATCCAGAAGGCGATCCAGCTGAGCATGACAATCAGATAAGCTGGAATGTAAGTCTGGATCAAGAAAAAGCCGATACTCCGCTCGAACTTGAACCATACTATCAGCCGAGAATAGGCTCCTGAAGAGACAGTGAAGTTTAAACTTGATTTATGACCAGAACCACGACAGGATTAGGAATTAGGATCCATCATAAAGAAATTTACGATTGAGTGTCGAAAGTAATCCGAGACTGCATATGTTTTCTTTCACTTCGCTCTACGATTAGCCTATAAAATCTAGCACCACTCTCTCAACCAATCAGATGGAAGACTTAAGCCGCGGTCGCCCGCGTTTTCCCGCGTTTTCCTGCGTTTTCCGGCGGTTTTCCGGTGTTTTACCGCGTTTTCACTTTGAGTTCTCATTGCCTCTTCGAGGTGTTATCATTTCTTCTGATTGGTCGTTGTGATTACTGCGGTTTTGGTTTTATGACACCCTATCGAAAAGTGCTCTGAGGACCTTCTTTCATAAGCATCTCTCCAGAGATTTTTAGGTCAAGATATCTGGTCCCCTAAAACAATTCTACTGTACCACTCGCGTTGCTTGGATGTTTTCCAAGTCAATGATCATAAACAAGTGCTGAATGGGTTTTCCTCGTGAAAATTAATAGTCTTGCGGTGCAGCGTTTTTTATGTCCTGATTGTCCTACAAATTCCAAAACCAGAAAAATGGATCTGGAGGAGTTACCTCACAAAGAAGTCCCACACGGTTGTTAACTACATTTAAGTCGTAACCTATAGATAATTTTCCTTACGCACAATATATTCTGAACTTTGAAAAATATAGGCTTTGCTTTTTTGGAAATGATATTGGAGTATAGTGCTTATATGTACCTGAGGTGAAGTTGGCAGAGGTAGTGTTAGTCCAGTAATCCGTGAGGATAAACTGGGGGATTTCTAATTCCTCCGCAACATCCACTTCTTTGTTTCCTTTAGCTTTTTTCCATTGAAACAATAGTTCAGTGTCTTCGTAACTGACTATCAGTTAGAACACAATACATATAATTGAGTAAATATAATTGAGTAGCTGAGGCTTTTATTTTTATGTCAGTAGTTAGTGCGATACCTCATATCGGCTCAACTTAGTCTACTACTTGGTCAATCACTGAAGATAATAACAGATGGCAAGAAATGGAGAAAACAAAATTGAAGCGTGAGGTCACTCAGCTGAGAGCGACTGACTTGGGGCGACACGGCTGCGAGGTAACGGGCAAGCAAAGTTACTCAGCGCGTCAGTCGCAAAAACAAACTAAGAAAGCAAGAAAATCAAGTTTCCTGAATGTGAAAACGGTTCTCGAAGTACTCTGATGAGAACACGCTAAAATGCCAAATAGCACGGAACAACCATACTGCAACGAAGAGTCGTAGCATCGCAGTCAAGAGGTCGATTTTCTATTAATACGAATCTTTTGTCGTAAAACATAAGATGGAGCCTGAATCTATTATCATATCCACGATAAATAGACAAGTTGTTTATAATAATCATGGAAAAAACTACTTACAACTTTCAAACGCCAGCTTACAAACTTGTTTGTCTAGTGGATAGTTGTGAAGACGCATAGGGCAGGATGCTGTCATCGACAATCTTAAAAAGAATTATTAAAACAAATGAATCAGTCACTATTAAGGGTATAGTCCTTTGTATATCAAATAAATAATAAGGGAATGCTCTATTTTTCTTGCTTGAGTGGAATAGTCGCCCATCTTCTGCAAACAATTAGCTGCAAAACCAGAACTCAGAACGATTCTCTGAGTGCATAGCATTTCCCTTGTCCCAAGCAGTTCACGTATTTTCCTTGTTTTGGAATTCCCATACATTTGCTCTCTAAAGTTTATTTCGCTGTGTTCTAGTTTTTGCCTTTGTGCTTTCGTTTATTTTGGTCTTACCAAACTGGGTAAAAGAGTCTACAAAATTCTGCATGGCTGGCTATAAGTCCATTTGTCTTTCTGAAACCAGCTGCTTAAGTCTATCCACACGAATACGTACCTCATGCTATGAAAGACCTCTCCATTAGGCCATAGTCGAACCACTTCATTTTCCTTGGTGAGATCGTGCTTAATCCCGGACTTCTCATTAACAAAATATATGTCAGGTATCCACATATGTTGAACCATTTTGGCATTCAATGCAAGTCTCTTTTTGTATCCGGTGTTATTGTAAGCGAGCCTTTCATCCTTCCAATACATTCGTAGGAAGAAGCTCGTTCGAAATTCCTTTTTTAAAACATAAAGAGTGATATATATATCTTATTAACCAAGCGCGAGGGCCGTACTGGGAGAATATCGGCCCGAGGTCTTGACAGTACGGACCGAGCGCAGCTCGGTCCGTACAAAAAAGACCGAGGGCCGATATTCTTTCAGTACGGTCCCGAGCAAGCTTGGTTAATGAGAGATTTATCATACGACTGAAGTTCAAAGGGACACAAGTGTGGTATCATTCGGGACCATTCGGGACCATTCAGGTCAGTGCCCGGTGCAATACTGAGAGAATATTGACCGGCAATAGAGCATTTTGATTGGTTGATTTTAGTTATTGGCCCTCTGACTGCCCGAGTCGTGTAACAAGTAGAATGAAACATTGCTTTTAATTTCCTGAACTGTTACCGACCTCAAAATGCAAAGAGCCTGGAATAATGACGTGGATGGTATAAATGCGAAACATGTACAAATGAAGCATATCAGTTCTTATTTTTTGGAACGAAAAAGAGGAATCAGTTTCCTCGTTGATAATTGCCTATGAAGTTCTTAAGAAAGACGATTGCTAGAGAACTGAGGAAGAAACTTAACCGAATTCGTAGTCAAAGCAAGAAATTGTAGAGTTAAGGAAATAATCTCTTCTGAAATTACTATCTTCGCTGTCGAAAGAAAACCCTTGGGTTAACCAAGATTCGAAACCAGAACATAGGAAAGGTCAAAGTTAGTAATAGATCTTTTTTTCACTTCTGACTCACCATATTTGCCTCACTTATGTATCCAATATCTAAAACAAACATGTCCGTATAAACTGTTATAGGTTCTCCTGCAATTGCAATAAAACTGATCGGTAAGCGTTTCACGACTAGCATTGAACTCTGCTTCAAACTGGCGATACGGCAATAAATTAATATTCAACTTGTAAAATGATTCTTACGAATTTTTTTAGAACATTTTCTGATTTCCTTAGTTTGCTTTAAGCTAGAAATTGTCTACATTGCCCCAAAGGTGGAGCTTCTGAACATACGACTGACTTTCATAACTGTTTCAGCTTATCGCGGTTCATGCAGCATGAGGGAGGAAGGAAAGGGAGTCTGTACTCGAGACAGGTGGCCCCTCCACCGTCGGAACTTATCCCGGATTCCATCTATCTCTGTCACTAACCATAGGATCACCGTGTCTTCATTCCTTCCCAAGACTGCATCAAAGTAACCCTGGCCAGAATTTGCACCCGAACATTTCGATGTAAATAAGTGGTTCGAAAGAAAATTATCTTGTCCTCAGAGCCCTTCTGCCTGACAACGAAATAGACAGTAGTCTTAAGGTACATACGGCCTATTTTGGGTCTCAGCCTACTGTCTGACTTGTTCTGGATCTGATTCAATATCCGCGGCAAGAGTATTTCAGCGTCATTGATTTCCGCTTTCTTCGTCGGCTCTGTAGGTCTGCAAACGAATTAAGAAATGTTTAGCATAGGCTTGTTAAGTGTTAGCTTATCCACCACTTTTTTGTCACAAACATATATTGCTACTTCTTGATCTTTTTTACACTCTCGATGATTCAGACGCAATCGATCCCAACGGTGTCAAATATGAACCGAGTATATGGCCCATCTCGCTATCGATTTCGGTGTTGCTCAGTGATAGAGCACTTAAGATCCAAATCCGAAGGTTTGGGGCTCGACTCTTTGAAGCGAATCCTGATTTTTTCTGTGTTTGACGCTCTAAACAAAATTAGCCAAATATTTCTTTCATTTTACTTTCATTCCTGTCTAAACTAACAGGTATGCACGGAAGTAAAATTACTTTTTACCTTGTAATGGTGTCGGTGAAGGTGGTAGCGTTCGTAAACGTCCCATTTTGACGCCCATCCTCAACTGCGCTAGAGTCACCAGCAGCTAAACATGCAGTGAAGATTACAACAGATTGCCAAAGCTTCGCACGCATTTGCTATCAAAAATCCAGGAACACCTATAAAAATTACAAGTGCTTCATCAGTGCAAAGTGGTACTCTTGATGGCCACGCCTATTGATCTCAAATGGATATGTTGTAGTTCAATTTTATCCTTGGTTCAAATTTTATTTTTCTTTGTTTCAAACTCATTATCATACATTAACATGACCGAGAACAAAGGAAAATAAAATTTGAACCAAGGATAAAATTGAACTACAACAGATACATCAGCCCCCGGTTGTTCGAAGGGTGGACAAAGATATGGATTGGATAAATTTTTCATGCATTTTTTTTTTCTTTTTAGTAATTAATCCGTTAGATGCCGTTATCCACCCTCTGAAAAACTCGGCCTAGATCGGTGAAACACCAAAAGAATTCACCTTCTCAGAGCGGAAGCCTCTAGAGAACATAAATCAATCAGTGCAGTTTAAGGGGCTGTATTAACGCACAATTCAAGCCTTGGAAAATTGCGACGGGCATTGTTTCTCCTAGCGCTTACTTTCATTTATTTTCCTATGATAATCCGAGGATCCTTCTATCAACTAAGCACAATAAATATCTCCTTCAGTTGGTATGTGAAACACACGTAAGCTTAAGTCAGAAACGTCTACTAGGTATTTGCGCAAGCAACCCACTATGGCCATAATTAAGAGCGAAACAAAATAGTTTGATATTTGTACATTAACTCTTCATTCCCTGCGTTCCCCTGGCAGTGCCTTTGAATTCTGTTTTCTTCAAAGTCTTGAATTGATGACAATTGCTGTCTTTTTTATACCTATATCCTTGTTCTTTGTGGAAATTCGTAAACGTTCTGCCCAGCTTACTCTTGATGTAACATGCCAAGGAAAATCTCTCTATGGCAAGTGAAAGACCTCTGTACTTTTGAAGTCCTACTACAAATATCTTCGTTTTTAAACCAGGAAAAACCAATGAACATTCCAGGTTCGCATATAACACATAAACGGCCACTGAAATTTGGCTGGATCATAGTTTAATGATTTTGGTAATTCGTATGTGAAGCTTTTGCAAATATTAATGATTCATTTGAAATTGATGGTTTCCATCTCAAAAGAAGATTTTTTTCTGGTAATAGTTTATTAATTTTAAAAGTCTAAGATAATGAAAATATTTTTAAAAAGTAAAAACATAAAAAAATTATTATATTTTCAAAACCATATTTCTTTTATTTGTTTTGGGATGGAAAACTCGATGCATAATTTTGTGTCTTGAAACAATATCTTAACTAAGGTGACAAACGTTAAGTAGGTCCCCTTCTTAAGCTCTCTTAGCTTTTGTCTTTCTCTACATGACATATGCGCGTTTTCATGTCAAACGCCTACCTTAAATGAGATTTTCCTAAACAGGTAGTCCGCAATATATTAGTTAGGCTGACCACACACAATGAGTAACTTAGAAAAAGTTCCTCTCCTGAATCAATTATACTGAACTGATTTAGGTGGGTGCTATCATTGTCTTTTTGTGGGAAGCCGATAGCGTGGAAGGTGCCAAAACTTATCTCGAATTTTGCACTTTTCACGATCAGGATTATTCTCTAATTTTAATCGCGAATAAGTATGGAGACAATGCAAGAAAGTAATAGCGATACTTTAATTACAAAGTTTGCCTAGAAATGGTAGACGGGTGAAAATGACTTCGATTCCTTTTTTTCTCTCGAAAACAAAGAAGTCCCCAAGATTGTCAAACTGCAGTTAAAACATCATGTTCTGGGGTGATAAACAATGTAAAGAAGGGATTGTTAATAACATTGTGAATTAATGGCCAGTGCCAGGAGTGGCTGTTATTGATACTTACAGTTTCGATTGTAAACAGAATTCATGAAAGGCAAACTACCGAACGGGTATACCGCTTTTAAGCTACTTGCAATTGAGATATCTTAAAGTACCGCACCAGACAGTTTTACAGATGTGTAGAACCTATAGATGAAGCGATCCTTTCAATCACAGACCGAAAAAAATTGGTTTATTTTGTCTTCTTTTACCACTAATCCTTGTTTGACAAAGCGGTGGTACTCCATGCTGGGAGATCTCTCTGAGTGGTCTTGCTTCTTTGTCGATGGCAAGATTGAAACGAGTGCACTGCGATGAAGATTTTCGGAAGGCTTAGGGTTAGAAGATGTTTTTTTTTCTTTTTTGTAAGATTTAACGGATTGGCTCAGAACAAATTTAAACTCCTACGCTTTTTAAAGTTGTAAGCAGGGACTTTTCGTTGATTTCACATGTTTATTCAAGCACTTAAAGTAATGGAAATATCGAGTGCGTTTTAGTCATGGTCAGAAATAAGACTTGGATTGTCTTTCCGAGGAAGCAATTTGAAATGCTTTGTTGATCCCTTTCTTTTCGTAACAGGCCAGTGAGAAAAAAAAAATTCATATGTTTTCTTTTACTTTTCTAAGAGATTCAAACTTAGTCACACGTTTTATATCCAGTACTGAAATATAAATACTATTTTTGTCATTATTTATTTATGAAAAACTCGCGTATGAAAACTTAGCTTTAGGGATTTCAAAGGATTACATTGGACGTGCTTGTAAATATAAATACCACATTTTATGCAATCATGAAAATGGTTCAACTCGGAAGTGCTCAATTGGTTCTGTACATATTCTACTAATTTTGAATATTGGAATGAACTTGATTTCTATTTTTGATAGAAATGGATTAGACAATTTATTAGTCACTGCAATTTAGACCATGTAATTAGCACGCAATTTTCATTATATTCTCGCAATGTATTTCATCCATTTCGTAAGTAGGAAAGCGCTTTTGGCTATGAAAGTTTTAGAGTTCGTTAAATCGCATTACAAACTTACAACTGCGTATACGAAAACACTGCATGAAACCGAGAAACTATGAAACAACTTTTCCTAAATTTTTGTTTATGTAGTTATGCTTGCCTAAACAAAGATTTGGTTCGAAGGTGATGCACCGAGTGACTTATGTTACTAGAATTTGATTCATTCCACGCGCAGCAAAGAGTTTTCTTAAAGAAAGCTGTGGCTCACGTACAGTAGATTATGAAGTTAGAGTAGTCACCTGAGTTTCGTGCACAACAGGTTCTCGTCGTGTTATGCAAGATATCGTATCAGCTACTGGTCGATTGAAGATGTTTTAGGCATGAACACTATAATTGGAAAACCAAGCATAGGTGTACAAAATAAAACTAAAAAAAAGTATCAGAAACAGGATGGAAGACCTACCTTCGAATTAAGGTCGAAAGATTCGCAATTGTTTTGATTTACTTCTGACTGCGTTACGTTTGTCTAAACATTTCTTTGAAGACCAAGTTAACTTCAAATGTATCGTATCTCAGATGAACTTCTAAACATTCGTGGCTTAACTAAGGTGGGATTTCGCTGGGTAGTACTTTCACTTTCCCCGATGCAACTCAAGACTCCACGGCAACTTTTAGGGCCTCTTAAGTAATTGGAAATCTATTTTTTCACTCCAACCAAAACAACGAATCATTTTGCAGAATTCGCTTGGTTTGCCACAAAGCCTATTTAATGCTTTTAACACACACGGGTGCCCAACCAGTTAATAAGCAGAGAAATTACTCAGGGTTAACGAACCCTAGATAGAGAAATAATTTCTCCTTACAAAAGAATACTGATTTCCAATTTGTAGCTGTTGAGAATAATCAAGATCACAGATTCTTTCATATTAAAGTGGTCATTCTCATTATAACTATACCCAATAGCTTATTGTTATAAACAAGAGAAATTAGATTTTGAACAATTTGGAAATGAAATATTCATGCAATTTCCTTTTAAACGGATCTTCTTTGATGATTTTTGATATCTCCTATGATTGAATGATTTATGATAAGAAACGCGACAAAACGTGACTTTCATTTGAGGTTATTTATGTTTAGATGGATTATTATCTTGGCCGAGAGGTGAAGTCCATGGGGAAAATATCAAACAGGACTAATATTTCAAACTCCACGCGAAGACATGGAGCCTAAACCCTTTTTCTTTCAATTAACAAGGTCTGCTAGTTCTGTGAGAAGAATTATCTTATTTTGTATTTAGAGCCACCAGAAAAAAGTAAATTGGTAAGGGTCAAATGATGCTAGCCGGTTAATCTATCAACAGCTCGTAATAAATTATTTCTCAGGGTGGAAATATAATCTCTGATAAATAGGCGTAACCATTTGAAACAAACACCATATTTCATGATATGGCTTTTCACACTCTGAGGCATGTAAAATGTATTTATTTATTAATCACATTCGTTTCTTCTTTTGTCTCGAACAAACTTTTAAGCTTTTTTGCTTCTTGTTTTGCCTGAGGGCAAAATATTGCATGTTCACTCATTTGAATTATCTTTATCATACATTCATGATATTGGCACTCTGATCTAGGTATGGGTAAACAAGGATGCCAATACATCATTTAGTTCTGTTTTTGAATTTGAGTAATCACTCAGTACACGGGAAACTTTTAAGACTAAACAACCTAGATCTACTCCTGTAACAATTGTCATATACGAAGGTTCAAGAAGTCGCCAGGGCACTTATTGCTATCTCTGCAGAATCATCTTCTTTTGTAAGATTATTAATATTGCATGCCCTTGAAAACTCATCTAGACACTATCCAATTTCCGAAGTGGTGCATAGGAGAATAAATAATAACATAGAAAGTTTTTTTTTTCTAATTTCCATTCATAAACCTTACTGTCAATACATGTGGCATTTTGTCATGTGCTTTTTTTCCCCCATCATTTACATGTACAAGCCGTGTAAGAGACTACCACTTAATGTATAAGGACGAGAAATTTAGCTAAGATAAAGAAGAATAGGACTGAAGCATTTATGGTTTTCACACAATCACACACACAATTAAAAAAAAAAAAAAAAACCAATGTTATTTTTACCTTTGCAAATACGATCAAGCGTCTGTTCTTGACTCAGAAAACATCTGGCTTCGGTTCATGTGGATATTGATTTTTAGACGTATGCCTATTATCAGCGATTATTCATTATCGGAGCTGTCTGGAGAGATTTCCATAAATGCACATTAACGCACAAATCAGTTAAGGAAAAGTTGTGGAATATTTCCCATGGCGCGATTTTTCAACTTAATCTTGTTTATAAACTCGTCTCCAGCGTGGTGAGTCGAGGTTGACAGTGAGATCCCACAAGAAATGCGCAATAACAGAGATGTCTACGTGTTCTTAGCCATAACCAGTCACATATTCAAGAGCCATTTCGCAAATAAGAAAATGTATGCGTTGTTGGTGCATGAGGATAAAGTTGCCGGGTACGAATGCCCTTTGCGTCTTATGTTCGTTTAATGAAGTTTCTGCTTGCTTCCGTGTTTCTTATAATCTGTGTATCAACACTGAAAGGCAAACGCTCTGACTGAATTATTTATGATTGTATGAATGCATGACTGGAAGACTCAGACAAAGTGGACGATATTTGATCTTTGTTTTTTCATGCAGCCTGAAAGAGAAAGAGCTGGAAGCTGCTAAGGTCAACAAAACACTGGGAGACATCTTTCTTGTGTCACAATGAGAAAGACTATTTTGAGCTCATACCGTGCTAAAATGGGTTTGCAGAGGCAATCTCCGCCAAATCGCGTGATTTATTATTGAGGCGCCGTTTGAGAATTACCAATTTAACCGCTATCATCGAGCCCTGACTGTTTTTCAAATTTAACGAACGGACCTGTTGTGAGGACGTGGCTTCCGTTGGTAGGTACAGAGAGAACCAACAAAATCTTCCCAAGACCATTTGGGATTAACAACTCCTTTACTCTTGAGAGGGATCGTCTATACGATAGTCGCTGACTAAAATGGAAGGAAATTGATCATTCTCACGAACTTATGAAAATGGTGATCATTATCATTTTGCAAATAACAATAATAATAATGATGATGATGATGATGATGATTAAAAAAACGAAAAAACAATTGTACTGTTTTGGAACACAGTCTGTATGTGCACCTTGCTCATTTTTAGATAAAACTCCGAGACAATTTTGGATTGATTCAATCTAGAGCTCATCACTTTTCAGAAAAGGATAACAAAACATCCGCTTTAGTGTAAACTTAATCTGAGTTACCAATGAAAGAGTGATGAATGTTATTGTTCTTGATAAGACAGACTTCTTGAATCCTAATGAATAGATGTTAAATTTAGTTCTTCAGTTCTCTATATGTAACGTTAACTCGCCCTTATAAAATACCTGAATTTTGATACTTATTACGTTTTTAGAACACTTGAGGAGTTTTTATATTTTCGTTTGTTTTTTTTTTTTGTGTGTGAGAATATTAACAGTGGATGCAATTTCTGTTAATATTCTCACACACACACACAAAAAAAAACAAACGAAAAAATTAAAACTCCTCAAGTGTTCAACAAACGTAATAAGTATCAAAATCCAGGTATTTTATAAGGGCGAGTTTTTCTACACAGTCTCAGACCTTGCTAGTTGGTTGTGTATAATAATTTTTGCGAGTTATTCACCCTATTTTCTTTTTTATTTACTTTGTTCTACTTTAAAAAGAAATTAAATTTGAGCTATTTGATTCGATTTGAAAATCTTCATGATGTACTTACGATGAGATCTCTGATAGGAAAGAAATATTTTCCTCTATCTTTGTGAATGACTTTATTTACTAACATTTATTCATAAATTGTCAACTATTACTTAGTTTTGTAATGTTTCTTTCATGAGTTATCTCGGAATATGCTTAACTTTTCTTTGCCTGTTTTGTTGGAAATAATTCAGAAATTTCGAAAATATAACTGTGCAGTAATTTCGCGATGTTATTGCGTCGTGTGAAAACCCCTCCTAATTGCGAATGTCGTGACTGAAGTTATTGCGGTGTAATTTGTTATTTATGATTGAATGTTAAATGACTCACTTAGGAAATCTAAGTCATTATGATATGGTAATCTAAACATTCTGATGAAAATCTCATATGTTTTCATGTCTCGTATGAGTTTATGAAAGTTCTATTGGTCGGATGGCCAACTGTGTAACCGTCTGTTATAATGTAACTTGTTTAAAAGCCGACCTTTGGGTAATGATATTCTGAAATGTTTGACTTTTTTATTATCAGTTTTTGTTTTCGGTATGACCAAGTGTGATATTAATTAATACGTTGTCAAAGAGAAAAAAATTGGCGATCGACGACGGGGAAAAAAAACCAAACTGAATGACAAAAAAGGGCACGTAACGAACTTACCCTTGCATTTGAGACAAAAAAAGCAATAAAAAGCATCTATAAAAAAAGCAATCTTACTGACATACTCTTCGAAACAAATATCATTTTATAAAGCGCTGCGTAATCCTTTCCGGCCCTATAATCAAGTTTATGTATAAATGAACATATTTTTATCAAAATTCACATTACTCCTTTTTTTATAATCCCGTTTCTCTTAATTACTTCTTAGGCTGTTCGCAGATCATTTCTCTATGTCAGGAATGGGTTCATGGGCTCCTACATTCTAGCCTAATAACCCACTCAAATGTTATTTACTCAACCGCAACGGATTAGGAAAGTAAACAGCGGATAGCAAAATATGGTGTGGTAAATCTTTGAGAATACTTCTTTACCTTGTATGACAATAACAGCCAAGTTCAATTCCTCTGTTGACAAGGAGAAATCACGTCGCTGTACGTCGGTTACGATCTCTCAACCTTCAATAATATACTAGGGCTAGATTCGTTGTGATTTATATTCTAACTTCTGAAGGAAGAGCCAGCTGAGCAGGTGTCAGACCGCGCTGAAGCGCAACAAACAGATCACCGCACAGCAAGAGAGTACACAAATCAAGAATAATATAACATATTCGCGCCATTGGTCGAGCTTCAATGATTATTACTTGTGGCATATGGCGCAGGAGAATAGCGATTTTCATTACCCCTCGAGAAGTGATTTGCGGGGTAAATTTATGCGACTGCCTCTGAGTCACTGTTTCTTTATATTGGTGAATCACAACAGTGTTCTTTCTTTATGTGTTATTCTTCTTTCATCGACGCCATAAAACAGCATGATAGATCACCCTATGGGCAACATAGACATGTATTGTTTAATTTTTCATTAATAAGGAAAAATATTACCACGATGTTGCTTGACTCAAGTTATTGAGTAAATCTTGCTTTTAAGTGCGCAAAAAAAAAATAAATAAAAAATAAAAAAAATAAATGTTACGTGAGGTCGAACAGCTAAGATTATAATTTTTTTCATATTATGAGGGATAAAATACATTTCGAGCACAGCGCCCGATAGGGAAAATATGTACCTGATCCCCCATAAGTCGTGGATATCATTTTATCAAGTGTATTGTGTCCCGCACTACGGGGGCCAGAGACAAAGGAACTACACAAATGAACAAGTAACATGCAAGTAAGCTGTTCCATCGAATTCGTCTATGAAACAAAGTCTCCCAATGCAGTGGTAAGACTGTAAAATTGTTCTTTTTTCTGATAAAAAGGCTAGCTCTCAATTTCCGTCAATAAAGGTGTAGTAAATTTGTTGAACTATGTATTACATACAGTGGATGTGAATAAAACCTTTCAAAAGTTGTCAACTCCAAACAAAAGAAAGCAACAAATTTGAGATAACAAAAGCTTAAACTAGACTAAACTACATTTTTTTGAGAATTGCCTGATAAAACAGGTTTCCACGCCAAGGCATTATGCATTGAATAAAGTTACAATTGCGAGTATCGGACCGTAGAGATTTTCGAGCATAGTTGACATGAGTTCTGATGTCCTTTTGATGTCAGCAAATTCGTTCAATTTCGTTCCCAGGATCTCCAGAGAGTCTTCTTTTCACTCCAAGAGACCCTAAGAAGCATAGGTTTTACGGGCAATTTTTTCCCGGGGGGGGGGGGGGCGGCGGTGAACCATTTGCCCAAAAAAATCTCGCAAGTTGCCCAAATTTTTTGCGAAACAGTCGTCATATGATACACTAACATAGACGTACATATAAAACACGTTCAAAGAAATAGCTGTCTCTGCCATTTCGACGGCCAAATACGATCCATGTCTTTCTCGGCTACAGGGTTGGCATATTCCCTTTCAGTGTTAAGTGCGATGTTTCTAACACGTTGTTGCCCCATGGTGCTGCGGAGGTAAGTTTTCAATCTGCGCGCGCAGCCCACTGAATGATCGTTCTGCAGAACATGATGTAGCAGGTATCACTGCAAGGATATGTACCACTCTAGAAAACTCTGGGAACATATCAAATAGATCATTCTCATGCATTGTCTGCAACATTTCTGAAACAGTCATATAGCCTAATCCACGTACACGACGAAAACTCGCGTACATTTTCTGTTCGGCTTTCAGAATATCCCCGTCCATTTTGTAAAATTTAGCAACTCGGGAGAAGCTTTCTTTATCTTGTGTTTCACTCTGACAGATATTTCCCAAATCACAGAGTATGTTCTGGTCATTTCCGCTAAACCTGAGTACAAGCTCGGACAGCACCTTATCGATGGACGCATAGTGAGTGTTTATACGATCGTGCGATTCCGGTGTCTACGTTTGTCTTTGCGCGTGTTCACCTACAAGGGTTTGAAGGCGGCAGGACGGCGTTTGTCTGGGTGCCCTGGTTTCTCGTAATTCAAACTGAGAATTGGTCAGCCAATTCTTCATTTTCAGACCCATTGCTGATGCTAACTGCCATACACTTTTGAAACTTTCTTCACTCCGACACTGGCGTAGGGTCTGAATGGTCAAGTTGGCATTTCTACGAGCGGAGATGACGTCGACCGTCTTCCCCTGAAGATATCGGCACAGACTACTAGTGTTGCTTAGGATTACTTTCAGTACACACAGCCCAAAGACAAACTCCAAGTCGCAAATGGCGTTCAATAAGGCTCTGCTCTCAGAGTAGGTTTTTGGATCTTTGTCTGAAGACAGTGTGAGCAGGGCTTTCACGATCCGTTCCATTTGACCGTGTACGGCCTTTGCGGCTTCCCACCAGCATGACCACCGCGTGGTACTTAATGACTTCAGCGTCAGTTTTAGATCCTCACCTTGCATGTCTGTGTCACTAAACAAGGCGTGTCGTTTGGGACTCGCTTCTAGAAAGTTGTACAGAGCCTGGAAAGTTCCCAGAGCGTTTCGCAATGGTTCAATCTGTGTCACAGTATCCTTAAGGGCGAGGTTGAGCACATGTCCGTAACAGTGGACGTAGATACCGAGCGGAGAGCATTCTTCCATTCTTTACGCTATAAAGGACGTGGTAAAGCCAGATTCACACGAGACAATGGTTGCCGAGCACGTGACTCAGATCTTCTGAGACTCTCCAGTAGATAATCTACAATAAGATTCTAGAAAGTTACGCCGAAATTGACGCTAATTATTTCACGGCTGGAAATTCGCCACTGTAACTAGTGCAGTGTCTCGCGTGAATTTAACTGCCTTTATAACGTAGGCTCGATTACCAGCCGCTGAAGAAGAGAAAAAATATATATTTACAATTTTTTCGAAACGCAGAAGCAATAATCATAAAGATACTAATACAATTACTAATATACCGATACTATTCTTTCTACCGATACTAATACATCGATACTATTCTTTCTTCTAGTTATTTAATTTATTCAATTTACCCCACTTCATTTCTATTTTTATTTACTACTTCTATTTTTAATTATTATCTAATTGTCAATCAAATTAGTTTTACGTATTTCCGCTATTACATCATACAGCTATCTAAGTACCACCTTAACTCTGTCAATTCCCACTGCACCTGAAGAAGGCTGGTTTGGCTAGCCGAAATATAGTGCTCCGTTTTAAAACTTTTCTACGTTGTATCGGTCTTGCCTCTATATTTATATTCGTTATTTTTTCCACGGTTGCTTGCTGAACATTTCACATTTATGCAAACCTTTTTAACGCTTGAAGGAAACAAAACTAGAGGGGTCTTTCCTTACCAAAAGAGGTTTTTCTTGCCTGTATTTGAACGTACTTGCATTAGATCTCAAAACTGTTTGAAGGACCCCTTAAGATTCTCTTGGAAGCCCTTGCCGGCCTCATTCGAAGGTTGTTTAATGATGGATTACACTGAGCGATTAATACAAACAAGCAGCAAGAAAAAATAGCGGAGAGGGGGGGGGGGAGAATTGGTAAAGATGATTATAAATGGATTAACGATCGAGTAAATAACTTAACTGTATTAATATCACTCTGCGAATCGCCAGAATTAATACAATGGTTTCGTATCTGCATTATCTCTATCTTTACGAGGGTAGTTTCCCTAGTATCAACCAGGCCGGAAAGTGATAACTCCCCTTGGAAGGTAGTGCCTTTTAATATATATAAAAAAAGTGAATAGCGTTTTGAAGACGTACTCCGTTTGGCTACTCAAACTCCGAATATCCTTTGTTTTTCAACTCCGGGCAAAGCGCGCGGGGTTTGCACTCGAAATGTTGTAATCGTTGCAGGAATGAATGAATCAAAATCATCTTTTTGTGCTATATTATCTCACTGTTTTAGTGCTATATCATCTCACTGTTTTACCGAAACAACTATTCGCGGCTCGTTAAATATCCACTGCTAACCATGCCACCTCCACTTCGGTGAATGATTGTTAAATATATGGCGTTTACATAGGGTCAACGACAAGGTTAAATTATGGAATAAATTGGGCGTAGCTCAAGGTACTATACATGAAATATGTGAATTCAAAGCAGTTTTTGTAAACTGTGGTAAATCTAGACATTAGGCAAGTTGATTGCTATTTTCGTTTTCAAAGGATTTTCCCAGGCACAGGTGTTACGGAAAGATATCAGCCAATCAGAAGTTTAGTAGATATTGGTCAGCGGTTCCAATGTTGTAATAAACAGTCCTCCCTTTCTCGTGAGAAAATCACGATACTGGAGTAGAAATTACGTCTGCAAATCTGTGAAATGACTTCAGTTTTCCATCGAAGAGCGAAAAATTCATCTGTATTTCCTGAAACTATAATATTTGGTAGTTTGTTTAGCGGTCATGAGAATAGCTCGCTGCACTAGTAGGGGTCCGCGTTCTGTTGGTTTGTTTCCGTCCAATGGCTGTTAGCAATGAATCAGCGAGCAGCGACAAGGCTTCGCCCTCGCTGCTTTTATACGGCAAACAATTGTCTCCAGAATGGAAAGCGATTTCGACAGCGGATCAAAGGATATATTTTGTCAAGTAAGTATTCTCAATGACTGATTGTAGAATTCTAACAGCTAGGCTTGACTTTCTTGCAACGAAAAGTTCATGAGCTATTTTTAAGAATTCGAATCACAATTCCCGGTTTAATTGCATTTTCGATCCCTAATTTCAATTCTTTTAACTCCAATATTCAGTTTCGATAAGGATGTTTCAAGGCTTAGCGGAATTTTTCTGTCGGCGACAGATAGTGTTGATTTGACTGGTTTCCTTGGGTATTTAAGTTTACATGCATGTATGCCATCGCTGATAGTTCGTTCTCGAGATTTCCATCTCCACTTTGCTCCATGTAAATAGATCACTTATGTTTCAAAGTCTTCACTTAAGCGCCTGTGTTTATTGGATAGGTACAACGCTTGAATACATCGAAATACTTTTCCATACCGATGTTTGTCCGAGAATAAAATTCACAAGCGATGAAATCTAATGGTTAATTTTCATTTTTATTCCATTTTAACAGTCAGCGCACTCGATCATCACATTGGTTTCCGCCACCTGAATTTTGGACTAGTAAACTTGGCCTTCCATACGGATGGGAGATGTCTTTGGATGACCACAACAGGAAATACTATATAAAGTACGTAACCAAAACGAGAGATGGCTACTAAATTAAACTTGTATCTTTGATTTAAACTAACCCAAATCGGATCTTGTTTGCGGAAAATGGCAGGTGTATTGATATTTGGGTAAACTTTGCGCGACAGAGTTTATTGCTTTAACCGCATGATCGAATATTTAATACTCTATGTTATTTCGAACCGGTTTTCCTGTAACTTTAAATCGTATTAGCTTTTGAGCGTTGTGAAAGTGATTTAATGTTGTGTCACAGTGGTTAATCCTGTGTAATCTTTAAGTAAAGCATCGAAGCATCAAGCACGAACGGTGGATTTGAACTCTGAGCCACGTTCGAATCAGTGATAGATGTGATAATACATCGGCTAATGTAAACTTCAGACACAGGCGCCAGATTTCATTTAGTTCTGATAAATACTGTTTGACGAGGCTAGGAATTTGAAATGTTGTTATATTGTGATAATATTTTAAAAGAACACTCAGTCATACGTGAAGCACTGTATTGGTTTCTTATCCTTACGGAGACAATGTTTGTATTAGTATCTTTGTGATTATTGCTTCTGCGTTTCGAAAAAATTATAAATATATATTTTTTCTCTTCTTATTTTTTAAGAGGGGGGGTGGGCTAGGGGAGGGAAGTAGTATCATGGAGTGGGCTATATTGGCTTCATGATCAATGGGGGAGGGGATGGCAGTGCATTATCAGAAATAAAATTATGAGTAAAAGTTACTTTAATTGACAGCAATGGTGGATAACAGCAAGAGGGACTGATAGGGTAGCAAAATCCACAAAACAAATTGAGTCTTTTTGAATAGAATTGCCTGTGCCTTTTAATTTATGTAGGGGTGATAATAATTATGATAATGATGAATAGCAGTAATAATAACAATAATGATAAAACAAACTGAAGTAAAAAGAGGAAAGAAAGAAAAGAAAAAAATCTGACACAATGATAATTGTTGTTTTTACCAGTCATGTGACAAGGGCAACAACTAGAGAAGACCCAAGATCAGAAGCTGATCAGGCGACTCATGTTAACATGGTGAATATTACTTCTCACTTTAACACTTTTAGCACACTGTAAGAGCGCATTGTAATTGTACATGTGAGGAGGTGTGATCTTTCCTGTAAATTGAAAGTTGCAGAGATGAATTTTTACAAAGGGAAATGAACTCAAAATGTCTCATTTTCTATTAATGCAATTGAGTCTGAATTACATTAACAACCTTCAATTTTTTTTTTTTTTTTTTGAGGTTCATGAAGAGATTCCTGTTTTCTTCCAGAGATGTATATTCTATACAAGGCTAAAAGATTAGGAAAAAATTGACATGTTTGAACCAAACGTTTTCGGCTGTTTGCCATCATCACCTTCCAGAGATACATGAGAACATTTTAAAATGTACAGTAGGGAACCCCAATGTGAGATTTTACATGATTAAAGAGGAGCTGCATGATAATCACAGAATAGTTTGTACTTGAACCTTTGACTTTAGGTGGTATGATATAATGTCTCTTGAAGGGTGAACCTGTAGGGTCCAGGAAGTTGTAACCTCAGGGAGGGGAGCAGGGGTGGTACAGTGGTGAGAGGGCTTGCCTCCCACCACTGTGACCTGGGCTCAATTCCCAGACCTGGTGTCACATGTGAGTTGAATTTGTTATTGGTTCTCGTCCTTGCTCCAAGTGTTTTTCTGGAGTTGAGTATTTTTAGCATGAGCTACTGGCTTGGAGATAATATAGGAAGGGCAACGTCCCCTTCCTATATTATCGACTTTAGATAAATTATTAATTTTTAAAATTTATTTTAACTTGATGTTACACATGCAATGATATTTGATCTTGTTTTCAATCAGACACCTCCTCAAGCAAGGAGGATCGAGCTTGTGAGAGATGCTAAAATAGGTATAATAATAATCTGACGTATGCTTTTATAACATTGTGAGGGATTATTTGCTGGCATGTAGAATTTGATTAGAAGAGAAGGGTGCAGTTTAAAAAAAAGTGAGGGCTTCTTTTATCACTGCTTTGTTAGATACTCTTTCTGTAGGGGGGGGCCTGGGGGCTAATTTTCCAGGATAGCACCTCTTTCAAAAACATCTTATACTGTGTTTCCTTGAATAAGTGCCTGTGTACTTATCTAAACTTTGGACTAAAGGAGGGGTCTTTATCGGAAGGAGGTCACTTAACCGAGGGGGGCCTTTATCAATAAACTATTAATGATTTGTAGTGATTCCTCTGTGATAGAAGCTTAAAAAGTTATAAAGAAAGTGGCTACAACAGAAACAGGTATCCCTTAAATAGAATTCTTAAATAGAAGGTATCCCTTCTATTTAAGAATTCAAAGTGAGGGAAGGAAAGGGGGGGGGCACTTACTTTGAAAGGGGCACTTGTTTGATATTATGGCCTAGGAGGAGGGTGTTTATTAATGCATGGGTGCAGATATATGGAAATATAGTGTATTTCTTCCTTGAGATACATTTGAATGGATAATTAATCCAGAGGGATTATCATAATCAAGTGATTCAATTTCATTCATTACTGCTTTAGTTTGACTACTCTGTGTACAGTTTGGCTAATAATTTAGAAATTGGACATCTGAAATGATGGGATTTATATCTATGCATGTAGAAAAGAAGTGCCTGATAGTACTCCAGAAGATTATGGCCAGAATATTTTTGTCTATTACAAGGAAACATGATAATAATTTTGTATATTAGGTTAAATATAGAGGAAAGAAAAAGAGGGGAACAACTGAGGGAAAACAGCCATTGACCAAGCTTTGTTATCTATGATTTGTCATCTATGGTGATTAAATTGTAGTACTTAATATAAGCTTATCATACACTGTAGCTGTTTGAGGGTTTGGGTAACTGACGAATTTGTTTCACTGCGCAATGATGAAAAAAAAATTGTCTCTTTCATTTCTTCAGGGTTTGGTTTTGTCGCTGGGAGTGAAAAGCCAGTGGTAGTTCGCTCTGTTACACCAAGTAAGGGGTATTTTCCTATCAGTATGTAGCCACTAATCCGGGAGTTAAAGTGCCTAGAACCCCAAAATTGTTTTTGGCCATATTAAATCTCTCTATTGCACTGAGCAAAATGCCGCAAAAATTTTTGTGTTTGGTTAAAACCGAAATTTATTTATGAATTTTCAAAGTCGGGTTTATTTTTGGAACGACCGAGGGAACCAGAGACTGGGGCTGAACTTAAAGATTAATAATAATCGTACATCAACGTTTCTGGATTTCTATTTTAACGGGATAGCAAATTTGTGGAAATATATACCTAATGATGTTAGGCAGGCTGAGTCTATTGACTCTTTTAAGAGTAAACTTAGGTCGTTTTATTCCGTTTCGCTTCGCATACTTCTGTCACGCACTCCCCATAAATAAACATCCGCGAAATTCGCCCGCACTGAAATAACAGTTTGGCGTGTTGGTTAATAAACAACTTATTAGACGTTTTGTTGTGTAGTATCGCTGAGTATTTTTACTCGTTATTTGTATTTTGACGAGCCCTACGGGCTCGTCAAAATACGGCACAACTCGTAAAAATACTTAGCGCTACTACA